AGCTCCCCACGTCTGCTCTTACAAGCGAAGAAAGGAAGCAACTCCTGGTTGAGAGTTGTGGAATTTTCTCAGCCCCGCCAAAGCGCGGGGTTTCTGCCTCCCAGGTCCGCCTCCCGCCAGCTCGAGGTCTCCTCTTGCCAACCGTGCCGGGAACCGCAGCCACCTCGCCAGCAGCTGGGTCTGTCCGCCCCCCGTTCGCGCTCGCCAGCGCCTTTCCCTGGAAGATTGGGTGAACTCCTGCCCGAATCCAGGGGATCTGTCCTCGCCGGGCCATCTCGCGGAACTGAGGAGCGGAGAGCAAAGGGAGGGGTTCGTGGAAGAAAAAGGAGGGAGGAGTGGTGCAAACGCCCAGAGCATCAAACTTGAGGGTCGCCCTGAGGGGTGAAAGTAGCAGTGGCAAGTGGTGGTGGGGACCCGCGAGGGGGCGCCGCTCTGAGTAGGGTCCTGCTGCGCGGGCTTCCAAGCCCAGGAGGCAGAAGAGAGACCGTGGACGCTGTCCACAGCTCTCTCGCCGCAGAAACTTCTCATCTAGCCTTCTCCACTGCGGGACCATTGCCCCCCACCCTCTGCACCTGTTTCTTTGTCTTCGAGGGAGGGGTTTGCCTCCCTCTCCATCCCCAGCCCCCGCCTCAGAGCCTCCCATCCTCACCCGCTCGCCCCGGCTGCTCTGTGCCGCGCAGCGCGGTGCCCCAGCGCGCTCGGCCGCAGGGGTCGGCGGCACAGCCTCCTAGCGCCAGCCTCCCGGCGGCTGCGACTGCCGGACCCCCGCCGCGCTCTCCTGCTCCTCCGCGCGGCGCTGGCTGTGCGGCACCGTCCGAGCGGACTGCACTGGACTTGCCTTTGGGGAGCTTCCAGTGCCTTCTCTGGCTCGGCGAGCTAGATAACCATCGCACTCACGGGCTGCACCCGTCTTGCTTCCACGTCTCAGCAGAAACGCGAGGGCCGGGTAAGTTTAAGTTCTAACCTGACTCACTAAAAGAATACCCCAAAGGAAGCGCTCGGGTCCTATGAAGAGGGCATGGAGGGCGGGGGTGGGGGGGGGCGGATGGGGTCCTCATGAGTGTAGGGACTTTTTTTCCTTAGGCTGAAGGTGGGAGTTGGGGGTGGTACTATCCCATTTTGCACTTTCGCTAGAATTTTCCTTTTCTACTGAAGATTCTTGACTATTTCTTTGACGCTTCGTAGAGAGAGGCCATTATCTTTCCAGCATAGCATGTTATTACTGTTCCTGCCTCTTCTTTAAAAGTCAAACAGCTGTCTAAAGCAGAAGGTTATATTGGATTCTCCAAAGTTATTCATGAATAGACACAGTTATATAAGCGTTCGCTGGTTTTCCACTCGAAAGGCTCACCCACTGGTGGGAGCATATGGTGGACGAGAAGAAGACAGAAGTAAAAGCTTTAAGACCTTTTGCAACAGGGACACATCAGTTAAACTTAATGACATGAAATAGACAATGCTGTTTTCAAAGGAAGTCCAGAAGCTCAAATATTTGGAAGAGAGACATTCCCAAAGCCTTTGGTGAATATTTTCCACTTTCTGCTTATTAGGCAGTCATGTCTTGTATGTAACATTCTTAGACATCCACTCCCCCCAGGACTAACAAGTGTAGGGCGTGTGGCATGCTTTCTGGGATTTTTTTCCCCTGGGAAAAATTCCTGGAAGGTTTTGTGATTGATAAGATGTTAAGTATTACTAAGTCCAACCTGTGACAATAAGAGTACTGTTGCAAAAAGCCCCACAAATTTAAATATATAGTTAAAGCATAATGTGGTTTCCCACTCAGATAATTTGAAGTTCTTTGAATCTCTGAAAAAAATCCCTGAAGCCATTTTCCTAATTTACAAAGAAATGTTTCTATAACAGAGTCTTTAAAGATTTACTTGTTCAAGAAAACTGTACCATTCACAGTTCTCCTTAGATTTCTTGACCTGTGTGAATGCCTTATTTTGTCTTATTTCAAGGAAAAGGTTTTTCCCTTGTCTACTTATCTTTTAACTTTTGTGCTTTTGAGTTTTTAATCTGATGACTCTCTCCATGTCCTCTCTTTTCCTCTTCCACTTTTCCAGAAGTGCATTAATAAAATGATACGTTCTCTGGGTAACGCTCTGACCTGGCTGAGGCCAGTAGTGTGCTTGAGAACAGCTATTAGTGTCCATATGCTAATAGCCTGTAGATCAATAACCATTCCTGCAGAGAAGCTTTAAGTAAAGAGGCTTTGAAATAAAGAAAAAGGGACTGAAAAAAAAAGCAAAATAAGTTAATAAATCAAATATACTCCTAATATCCTTTTATCTCAGGCTTACTCTCAATTTAGTTTGCCGCAAACCTCAAACTCAGACCTCTTTGAATCTTGTTAATTCTGTTAATGACTTATCAGGATTGGCTGTGCTCTGTAAAGTCACTTTCTGGGTCTAAGGGAGATAGAATGGCCTATCAAATACACACTCCAAGGTTTGAAAGGTTAGTTTCCATTTTCTGTGATTACTAAAGAATGGAGGCAAATGCAAAACAGGACCTGGGCTCTTTGGAACATTCTATTTGAAATTTATGCAGAGAGAACTTGAATATATCAATAAGCAAATATAGGAGTATGTGGAAATCTCTTCTCTGTAGTAAGACTCCTATTAGGATGTGTGCGTGTGTGTGTGTGTGTGTGTGTGCGTGTTAAGCCCTTGAGACAGAAAGTTCCCTCATGGTGTATCCTGACTGACAATTTTTAATATTCTAATCAAGGATTGATTTAAAAAGGATCTTGGGACAACTTTATTATAGAGGTGGTTACCTAAGAACAAGAAATAAGCGCAAGATATCATATCAGAGCAAGGAATTCTGTACAAGAGATTATCTTCAGTAAAGGAAAGGATCAAAATTGTTTCTTTGTATTTTGCTGACCTTAATTATTCAGTAAAATTGTGCTTTCCTTTAGCTTCATGTTTTCTTTGCCAAAAGATTGAGTGCCTTTAATGTGTTAGATTACGTGCTAAGGATTAAACAATGGATGGGAAAGATCCAATTTCTGTCCTCAGAGAGATTGCTGGGGTGGGGTGGCTGAGGGAAACTGTTGCAATACGGCAGGTGGAACTTCAGCGCCAGAAGTGAGCACAGGTTTTTAGGGTAACTGAGGGGCCTCCCGGTTCAGAACAGGGAGGGCAGAGAGGCGTGAGAAAGGCTGGTGTGTTGCTGGAATTGGGAGTAGTTTAGTCTGACAGAAGCGTGGATATATATTGGGATGTCAGGAGACGTGAAGCCAGAGAGGTAGGCAGGGGTGAGTTCAAGAAAAGCTTTGAATGTCATACCATGGAGTTGGGATTTTCTTCTTTATGTCAGTGTTATCTACCTGGGCGTGCAGAACCTACAGTGGGAGAGCAAATTAATGAAAGAAACAGATCATGCAAAGCACAATTTACTCAGGAATGTAAAAGAGAAGGAATTAAATGCAGAGAATTGGTTACACAAGTGATGGAAGCCAAACAGGGGATGTAGAGGCCACCCAGGGGTTAGGAAGAGCAAGGAGTCATTACTACCTCCAGCTAGAGGGACACAGGGAAGAGGCAGTGTGAGGGAAGACCAGGGACCAGGGCCATCCACTGGAAACAGAATCGCTGTGGGTCAACCCTGTGGGAACCAGAACCATAGGGGTGCTGCTGAGGCCCTGCCGGGAGGAGAGAGGGATGGAGAGGAATGCAATGGCTTCTCTCTGCCTCCTGCCCTCTAATTACCTGCCACTGCTTCCCATTGGCCAAACCCAACCAGCATTCTGATGATTTAGGAGCCTGAAAATACAATCTGCAAGAGTCAGCCCTCCAAGGGAAGGGTGAGGAACGGAACTGGGGGCACACAGGCCCAGCCAGGCATTGTCTGTCTGCTGAATAAATATGACTCACCTACCAATGTAGGTAGATGCTATTATGATTCATAAAAAACAAATTCATTTAAAAGTGGTTCTGAATTAATGGCGGCAGCCTTTTGTCATTATGAATATATTCAAAAGGTACTACCGCTGTGACGGTGGGCTCTGGATGTTTTTATAGACTTGAAAAAGGAACTTTATATTAAAAACCAATACATTATATTGCTTTAAGCAGTCTGGAGACATTGGGGAAATGATCACATTTGAATTTCAGAAAGACTGTTTTAATGTCAGAGTAGGCTCTGTCTAGTAAAATCTAAGAGCCTTAGAGTAGAGGCTCTATGCTGTTGTCTTTTCCCCCAGCACAAATCCTGTTCCTGACATAGGTTTTTAAGTGCTTGCTGAATGCATGTTTGAATAAGTGTAAGCACCACAAGGGTGGAGCTGTGCCTGGCATTTAGTAGATGCTCAATAGTGAGTGGATGAATGCATGAATGAAAGAAAGCAGAAGAAGAGGAAGGGAGATAATTAGAAGAGTATTTGAGTAATTATGGCAAGAAATTGACAAGGACAAAACTAATGTGGCAGAAATGATAAGAGGACGGTTGGGAGAGATATGTAAGAGACAGTCTGAGGGTTTTCTTAAGTGTAGGGGCTAAAAAAGATGAAAAAGTCTAGAATGGTTACCTGCTTTTTAATAAGGTGGCTTAATCAATGGGAATAGCATTGACTGAAGTAGAGCATTCAGAAGAAAAAGTCTAGGGGGGGCCAATTGGGGAAGAAAAGTGTTAAAACTTTTATGTTTTGGGATTAGAGAGATGTAGTTCAGATTTGGACATATTTTTCATATAGTACCTGCATAGGATTCTACTGTATATCAGGTAGGAAGTTATTTCAGAGCATCCAAAAAGGCAACTGTTTTACATAGGCTACCTATTTTTAAACTAACTCCTAGACTAGAATAAATATCTATGAAACAGAATCTGCTCTTAAATATTTTATATACTCCTCAAGTGCAGGCACCAGGCAAAGGGTTTTAATATTTGTCTCTTTTTTGTGCAATTTGTTGCTATATTTATAAATTTAAAGCAGTCAAAATATTGAAAGAAACTTTTTTATCTACCTTAAAATTAATTTGATGAATTTATAACAGTTATAAAATTAATTGATAAAGTTTCTAATATTCATCCCACTTAAAATGGATTGAATCAATTTGGTAGCATTGACATTGGAATTACATCTATACTATAGGAATTACATTTTATCATCGTAATATACATTTCAAGGACCTGATTTAATTCATCCAGATTTGTCAATAGACTTAAGAAAAGGTCTGCTTTATTTAATTGTTATACTGTGTGCAATTTTAGGGATCAGAGAACAGGTATTTTGAACCCCAACCAAAGTGAAACCAGTCTATTTGTGACACTCATTTGCCTCACCCTCATGTTTTCCTTATTCCATATTTGTTCGTTTTTTTTATTGTAGATTCCTGTGCTAGTTGCTGAAGATGGGTCCAATAGGCGCAGAGGCTGATGAGAATCAGACAGTGGAAGAAATGAATGTGGAGCAGAATGACCCAGGGCAAACCACTCCTAGAGGTGAGCTGGGCCCTGACCCTCAGCCAGAGCTTATAGACAGCACCAAGCTGATTGAGGTACAGATTGTCCTCATATTGGCCTATTGCTCCATCATCTTGCTTGGGGTGATTGGCAACTCTTTGGTGATCCATGTGGTGATCAAATTCAAGAGCATGCGCACAGTAACCAACTTTTTCATTGCCAATCTGGCCGTGGCAGATCTTCTGGTGAACACCCTGTGCTTGCCATTCACTCTGACCTATACCTTAATGGGAGAGTGGAAAATGGGTCCTGTCCTATGTCACCTGGTGCCCTATGCCCAGGGCCTGGCAGTACAAGTGTCCACAATCACCTTGACAGTAATTGCCCTGGACCGGCATCGTTGCATTGTCTACCATCTGGACAGCAAGATCTCCAAACGAATCAGCTTCCTGATTATTGGCTTGGCCTGGGGCATCAGTGCTCTGCTAGCAAGCCCCCTGGCCATCTTCCGGGAGTATTCAATGATTGAGATCAATCCTGACTTTGAGATTGTCGCGTGTACTGAGAAGTGGCCTGGTGAGGAGAAGAACATCTATGGCACTGTCTATAGTCTTTCCTCCTTATTAATCTTGTATGTTTTGCCTCTGGGAATCATATCTTTTTCCTACACTCGTATCTGGAGTAAACTTAGGAACCATGTCAGCCCTGGAGCTGCTAATGACCACTACCATCAGCGAAGGCAAAAAACCACCAAAATGTTAGTGTGTGTGGTGGTGGTGTTTGCGGTCAGCTGGTTGCCTCTCCATGCGTTCCAACTTGCTGTTGACATTGACAACAATGTCCTGAACCTGAAGGAGTACAAACTCATCTTCACCATATTCCATATCATCGCCATGTGCTCCACCTTTGCCAACCCCCTTCTCTACGGCTGGATGAACAGCAACTACAGAAAGGCTTTCCTCTCAGCCTTCCGCTGTGAGCAGAGGTTGGACGCCATTCACTCTGAGGTGTCTGTGACATTCAAGGCTACGAAGAACCTGGAAGTCAAAAAGAACAATGGCCCCAATGACTCTTTCACAGAGGCTACCAATGTCTAAGGAAGCTGGAGTGTGAAAATGTACAGATGAATTCTGACCAGAGCTGTAAATCTGGTTGAGCCGGGCTTACAGGGTGCATCCTGATTTCCCATTTTAAGGAAGAAAAAAGAGCGTCTGAATGGAAGCATCTGCAGTGTAAATTCATGGAAAACTGGTTGGCAGAGCCTAGGTAAAAACACTCATCTTCAAAGATAGGTGAACAAAACAGTTTGCTTGCTGTTGGTAGGTTGCTTGAATGGTGAATTAATGAGTAAAAGCAGAGAGAAATGCTTTTGACTATTTCCCAGAGTGAAGGAAATCTGAACAAGGCACTGGCATTATCAGCATTGCTCAAAGGTGGTGGGTAAATAAGTTGTCCTTCAAATCACATTAGGGTGTAGATTGGGGATGATATGTAATTCACTGCTCCCCCTTCATCTGGTAAAAAGATACCAAACACCAATTTCCCTAGGGAGCCACAAGCTCTCCTTTGTTGTATTTTGGTTTTGTGTTATTCTTCCTATAGACTAAATCCATCAGGGAATACTGATGATAAATGTTACCAACTATTTGAATGACTTCAAGGAAATAAAACTGAAATTTGCTATATAATTCATATTTTTACAAATGACGGGGAAATCCTTAACATTCAGTTAGCCAACTGTTCTTAAAACCAAATGCACAGTTAGTGAAAAGTTTCTTCAATTCAGAGTGGAAGGCTGAAATTCTCAGAATTATAGAAATGTAAAGGGTCATTTAACTTCTCATTTCAAGTTGTCTTTGCCTTATGTAGATACCATATAGATAACAAAGAAGCATACAACATAATACTTTAATTATTGCTGAGTGTTATAACTTTTTGAACATGTATTATTCCTATGCTGGAGCTGAGTTTGTCTTCACTAAAAAATTAAATCAGATTAGAAAATAATTTTCATGGCCTTTTGTAACATTTTGTGTTTATTTGTAAGCAATTTTTGCACAGGTACATAGCTCTAGTGTGTTTACAGAACACTGTAGTGTTATCTTTTGAAACCCATTCATAATTAATAAAACCATATAATTTCATCAAAATGGAACCCATCTAGTAAGAAATATTAAAAACACTGCACTCATTCCACCTTGCAAATGTTCTATTTGGCCCAATTTCGATGTAAATTGTCCTCTTCTCAAAATAATTAGCTGTATTTTTTGGATAACTTATGAATATATACATAATAAAATTGTATATGTAAATATTGGAACATAGATTCTGTAGTATTTTTCTTTTAATGATTTTATGAATATAATTTTTATTCCAATATAACCAATCAAAGATGTTTAAAACCCTATTATATTCCTGAAGAATAATTGAGATGTTAAAATAGTTATACTTCTTTGGATGCTGTTAAAGAAGTTCATTGCAATCATATTTTTGTAAGTATGACTGAATTTGTGAATAGATTCCTTAAATTTTAAATGAATTCAATACAAGTATTATATTTAATTATGAACATTAACTTTATGAACTGGAAAGTTTCGTTTTATAGATATATGTAAAATTGATACTATGGCTCTTAATTACTTTCATGCTAGAAATAAAAGGCGGGTCTTGAAGTGCACTGCACTTTTGGAGTACTGAAAAAGAATGAAAATAGAAGTTAGGTTAGGTGGAAGACCAATTAAGGAGTAAGTAAAAATAATGTACCTCTGTAATGTATCATTTAATTGAAGAATTCATTTTTCTGTTGGACTTTACATAACTGTCCGAGAAGCAGCTTTTTGTCTTTTAAATAGCAGTTACTTTGCTTAAGATGCTAATAAGTAATTGTGGTTAAAGGCTTTTTTTTGTTCCTCTTGGAGAATTCTTACACTGTAGGAAATATGTACACTACTGTATCACCTGTTGTAGTAGTAAATTATTAAAATCCAATTAATCCAATTAATATATATGATCTACTTATTTCTGTTAACTCATTAATAAAATATCTTTTTATGTAGTGATTTTATCTGTTGAAATAAAAAGAATTTGGGAAATTAGAGAAATTGAGTGATATTTTATATGAGAGTTCCTGTTCAAGATGAGATAGGAAGCCTTTGATGCAACTAAAAAAAGGAAAATAATGGTGGCCTCTAGATCGTTAGTCTATCTCTCTTTCCATTCTATACATGAACTTGAGTCAATGGATCTACTCATATGCCTGCAATTATAATCCATGTTCTGACAATGCCTGAATATTTATTTTCAGACCAGACCTTTCTTCTGAACTCCAAACCTGTATCTCTGTCAGCTGATTTGGCATGTCCACATGGGTGTCTCACCAGCAGATCAAATCCAATATGTCTTATAGAAAGCCTGCCATTTTATTTTATTTATTTATTTTTTTTTGTGAGGAAGATCAGCCCTGAGCTAACATCCGAGCTAATCCTTCTCTTTTTGCTGAGGAAGACCGGCTCTGAGCTAACATCTATTGCCAATCCTCCTCCTCTTTTTTTCCCCCAAAGCCCCAGTAGATAGTTGTATGTCGCAGTTGCACATCCTTCTAGTTGCTGTATGTGGGACGCGGCCCCAGCATGGCCAGAGAAGTGGCGCATCGGTGCGCGCCCAGGATCCGAACCCGGGCCGCCAGCAGCAGAGCGTGCGCACCTAACCGCTAAGCCACGGGGCCGGCCCAAGCCTGCCATTTTGATCCACACCTCACCCCACCTCCACGTTGTTTTTCTGTCTTTCCTGTCCCAATCATGGCACTGCTATCCACCCAGTTCCCAAAAGCCTTACACTTTGGAGTCACCCTTGACTCTTCTGTCTCTTTATAACACATGGCCAGTTAATTCCCACATTTTGTTGTAATTCCTAGATGTTTCTTGATTGATTCACTTTTCTCCATCCCTGTGGTCCCCACCATAGTTCAGGCTGTGATTATCTCCCTAGACCCCTATTATCTCTCATCTGGTTTAATGTAGTGCTTCCTAATTGGTCTCTCTATATCTAGTCATCTTCCCATCTAATCCAACTTTTACCCATCAGCCAGAGTGATTTTTCAAAAACTCAAATCTTATCAAATCACTCTTCTGATGAAAACTCTTCAATGTCTTCTTATTAGTCTTATGATAAATTCAAAATCTTTTTATGACTTGGAAGACTATTTAGTACCTGGCTCTACCTATATGTTTTATCCCTTGCAAAATCTCTCTCCCTCCAATCTTTGCCACTAGATTTTAAGCGTATGAGGGCAAGGGCCAGGAGCTGTTTTAATCACTGTGGTAGCACAGGTACTTGCAGTTCCTGGCACCGAGTTAGTGCTCAATAAATACCCATCAAAGAAACTGAGTTAATGAGTCAAGTAAATATTAAAGCCAATTGGAAGACAGATCTGTAAGGTTGTAAACTATAAATTTTTCCCACTTTTATCATACAACTTGTAGGAAAGTAAGGTTTTAGCTCTATAGGAGTCCAGTAAATATGCATATTTGTTCAGTATTAAATTGGTTTTGTTTTTTGAAGGCCATTAAAGATATACATTTGCATAATTGGAAAGGGCTCTATGCATAGACTCCATTTAGGGCTCACTCAAAATTATCTAGAACCTTGTATGAAGGAAACATGGAGGAGCCAAGGAAGTGTATTAGTCATGATTCAGATAGCTGAAGAGAAGCCATTCTAGTTACTTCTAGCAAGAAGTCATTTAATACAGGAAATTCAAATCTTGCAAAACCACTGGAGGAACTGGAGAATTGAAAGCTGGGAAAAGCCTCCATTGGCACTGAGGAAACTAGGAAGTGCGAAATTGCAGGAAACCACTACTAAGGCCTACAGCACCAAAGTGGGTGATGCACGGGAAAAAGCACAGATTTATCTGTTAAAATCCTGTTGCCTACAGCTAAGCCCATGCTCCTGTCCATCCCTGCCATAGACTCAGCGCCTTTTGCTTTTCTTCTCCTGTCCAAAATTCGTGTGAGTATCTCTCATTTGTGGAATATAACTCAGGCCTTGCTGGCAGGGTTTTGGGGAAATGTAGTTTTTAGGTTTCCAGCCCCTAAGTTACAGGGGAGAGCGTGGAAGGGAGCATCTGGTGCTTAATTGCTATCAGGCAATCTGGAAATCTTAATAATTGCCCAAATGGTGTAGTTTCTAATTTCACACTCATCCTCTCCTTCTCAGTACCCCTTTGGGTTCTTCAGAGTTGCAACGATGCAGGTTGATTGTATTTTTTTTTTCCTTTTTCTGTTATCAAGGCTAGTGTGTTAAAGATAGTCTTTAAAACTGCCACACATTAGTACAGGTGGACTGAGGAGTAAAGTAGAAGTAAAGACCGTTTTTTTCCTATGGCAGGTTGACTGCAATGGAGGAAGAAAGAATTACATTAAGACTTAAACAATGATCTAAAAACCATGGAAGAATATAAATTCTTGGTTAGTATCCTAGGATGAGTCAAGGAAATGATGCCTCAGGGAGAAAATGGTCTTTAAAATTTTCAAGTTTATAAGAGATGAAATGTTAATATATATGGTTGCAAAACACAAAGACTTTACTTTTGCTTAAGAAAACAGAGAACATAAAGAAACAACACAAAGGTAGTGGAGAATGCAAATCTCTCATGATTATATCTCATGATATTAAAGGTAACAATTTTATTAAACAAAGGGTTTCTAAGGATTGATTTGTGAGGATTTATAAGAGACACCTGTCTGTTAGACCATTGACCTCTTTCTGCTTTGGTACACTACCCAGGTATCCACAGATTTTGCAAATTCTACTGTGCATGGAGGAAGTTATAGGAAAGATATACTGTGGGTTATGACAATTCACATGTTATCTGTAACTCCAACTCTTTCTTAATTCATCAATGTGTAACTGAACGGAAGTAAATAAAAATGACTAACTTTGAATCTCCTCTCCTCTATAAACAAGTCACTACCAAGTTGCAACACTTTGACAAATTACTTGCAAAACACCACATATTATGATAAGGCAGGTGTTATCACATTAAAATTAAAAAGTGCTGTATTATCTTCACAAGAAATAAATTAAAAAATAACAAGTGAGTATTTTAATTTTTTTTGCCCTTCTCATAGGAAAGTAACACATATTCTAAAAAAAGAAAATGAATGTATGTGTATATGCACACACACACAGATGCACACATATTTAATAACAAACAAAAAAAATCTCCCTGATATGCACTAACATTCAATATCGTACATTGTCTGTGTATAAAACAGTCAAC